AGAGCTTAACCATTTCTGTCATTCAGGCACTCCTATGACTTGCCATAGCAATAGAGATCCTTGAACTTAATGCTGCTCTACACCAAGGAAAATGGTCAGTTGACTACCAGGGTGTGGGTAGGGTCACTGGGGGAAGAGTCTCCTTGAAGTCAGTACCTACTAATCGATGTTCCCCTAGAAATTCAGAGAAATATAATAAGGACATTTTGAAAAGCTCCAAATCCACCTCTCTGAAAATATTTTAAGGAAATTATTTTATACCAATTAACCAAATTGTGAAAGATAAGCAATGGTAAATAAAATGTCAGCTGTAGGGGTTTCTCAGACTGGCTACCACAGTACACTTTAAAATACTACAGCAGCAACTAGCTTCTTATCTCCTGTGATTGGCTGCAAATATCAGATCCATCTGTGGTCACATTTGAGCTCCTAAAAGTCCTTTTGCCCAAATGTCAATGAGATTTGAGTTCAGCTATGGGACCCTAGTGTCCTGAAGTATTTTCATGTCTCACTGTTGGTCTGCATATAGCACAGGCGGAAGACCCAAGTTCAGGATGTTTTCAGTTACTACTAACACTGTTGCCAAGTGGGTGTCTCCTTACCTTTGAAGAGGGGACAGTTGGTGGCTACATACAGACCAAGGTGTGCTTTTATGGGTCTGGGGTATAGACATGCTGTTGGAGTTCTTTCTCTATCTTAGTATAAACTGACAATTGAATCATCCATTTCAGAACATTATTTGGTCTGGTTTTAGATAATAGGAATCTCTCTGGTAGTGTTTTGGATGACTTCATTGTTTCTTGGGTCCATAGGGGCTGTTACAAGAATCAGAAATGTTGAAACGGATCCTCACTGACACGTTCGCAACATTGGATAACTGTTAGACTCTCATGTCAGTTGTTTCGCTCACTTTGCTTTTGTTTGTTTTAACAGGGGTAGGGGGTCTGACTAATTAGATAACTTTTGAAATCTCTGTTAGAAATGTCTTGCATCTATACTGTGAATCTTAGGAAATTCAGAACAACTTTCACATGCCATCTTTCCATAAAGAGAGAAGGATTTTTTTCCCCTTCCTGTAAGAAAGTACATAAATCATTTTCAAAGTGGTTTACAGAGTTTGAGACAATATGTTGTTTTTGCTTATCAAAGGTAGTCCTTGATTCTTCAAACCTTCGCCATAACAAAATCCAGAGAAAATTGTCCTTGTTACTTTCTCGTGATACTGTGAACCAAGACATACTTCCTAATGGGAGATGGGAAGATTGTCTTCCCACTCAAAGGCTTTATGCTCCTGAGAGTTGGCCAGAGTTTACCTTTTACCTAAAATGCCTTTGGTCAAAATTGGGTTCAGATTCAGAAAGCACTCAGAAAAGATTTACTTTGAATTTCTTTATAGGATAGGAGAAGTACATTAATTAAATCTAGTATGACCACATTGGCGGTTCAGTGGTAGAATTCTTGCCTTCTGTGCAGAAGACCTAGGTTTGATTCCTGGCCGGTGTACCTCATGTGCAGCCACCACGCATCTGTCAGTGGAGGCTTGTGAGTTGCTATGATGCTGAACAGGTTTCAGGAGAGCTTTCAGACTAACACAGACTAGGAAGAAAGGCCTAGTGATCTACTTCTGAAAATCAGCCAGTGAAAGTCCTATGGTTCATAATGGTCTGATCTGCAACCCATCACAGGAATGGTACAGGACCTAGGACCAGGCAGTGTTTTGTTCTGTTGTGCATGTAGTCTCCATGAGTTGGGGGTGATGGCAACTAGCAACAACAACGTGGTTATTAATTATAGGCCCATGGATTTATTTTCTCTCTCTCTCTTTTTTTTTGTACTTAGATGAAGGTTTACAGAACAAACTAGCTTCTCATTAAACAGTTAGTACACATATTGTTTTATGACATTGGTTAACAACCCCATGACATGTCAACATTCTCCCTTCTCAACCTTGGGTTCCCTATTACCAGCTTTCGTGTCCCCTCCTGCCTTCTAGTCCTTGTCCCTGGGCTGTTGTGCCCCACTAGTCTCACTTTTGTTTTATGGGGCTGTCAAATCTTTGGCTGAAGGGTGAACCTCAGGAGTGACTTCATTACTGAGCTAATAAGGTATCCGGGGGGCCATACTCTCGAGGTTTCTTTAGTCTCTGTTAGGCCAGTGAGTCTGTTTTTTCTTTTTTTTTTTTTTGAGTTTGAATTTTGTTCTACATTTTTCTCCAACTCTGCCCAGGACCCTATATTGTGATCCCTGTCAGAGCAGCCATGGATTAATTTTTTTGTGTAAATTTGATATAGCATTGAGGGTCAACTCCCTAAACGATTGTTTGGGTTTCTGAGCTGGATATTGTTGGATACCATTTTACCATAGGTTATTTCTTCGCTGCAGTTTGCCTCAGCTCCGATCTTCAGACCATAATCGCTGGATAAACTAGCCATGAACAACTTCAGCAGGATGTTCTTATCTTTGTAACTGTAGTCTATTGTGAGCTGTAATTGAACCCAGAGAAGATGTTCTTTTTCTTCTCCCTGTGTTATTCAGCCTGAGAGAATTTAAGCAATTTAACCAGTAATCCCTTAAGAGATCTTCCAGACATGTTCTCCCCACATCTCTGGGGGCTTTTATACCTTCATTCTTTTGTTGGTTGTTTTTTGGTTGTCCTCTGTCTTCCCTTCGGCAAGATTTATTCGATTGAGGGGAGAATAGAAGAGATAGGTTGCTGAGGGATTAGGTGAGCAGGTGCTTGGGGGACTCTTTGTCCCTGCCAGATGAACTTCAAAAAAAAAAAAAAAGTATTGAGTACTTTTCTTTTAATTTCCCGATCATAGTGTGACTTCTTCTTGGCCAAATAGTTTTGGGACTTTGCCCAGGCCCTGTGTGCCAGAGTCAGAGATTCATCTTGGCCAGACACTGCCACATATTAAGGAGGGAGCCGTTTCCAGGAAAACTCAGAGAGCTGTGACTCCTAGAAACCTTTTCTTGATTATATGAGCCAGGCCTTGACACTTTTGACCATCTGGAAAATTTTGGACATGAGCACCAATATCTGTCTCTCATACATGTTTTTCATTTTATTTCCAAAAATTGTTTTTAGTTCTTGTTGATTTGAAGGAGCCCTGGTGGTGCAGTGGTTAAAGTGCTTGGCTGCTAACCGAAAGGTCGATGGTTTGAATCCACCAGCCACTCTGCAGGAGAAAGATGTGGCAGTCTGCTTCCATAAAGATTTACAGCCTTGGAAACCCTATGGGGCAGTTCTGTTCTGTCTTACGGGGTCACTATGAGTTGGAATTGACCCGCCAGCAGTGGGTTTGTTTTGGTTTGCTGTATGTTCAGCACAGTATAAGTAAGGCAGATCTTTGAGTACTGAGAGATTTACAGTCTATTTTGGAAATTAAAACAAACGAAACAGTTGATAAACAGGATGGTATTATCTATTATAGTACCACTTATTGATAGAATGAAATACTTTTGCAGCATTGACAAGTAGAGAATTAAAACATTAATTTGGCATTTACTGAGTGCCTACTATGTGCCTCATATGTAAAGGCATGGGTTTTGAAACATAAATAAGGTTTGTTGTCTTATTTATCAATGACCTGAGAGTACACTGTAAAAATTGACTTTGGTATCATAGGAAGTATTTACCAAAAAGATAGAGATATATTGAGATCAACGTGGACCAGTAGCCACTGGGAAGATATAAAGTAGTCCAGCTTATCACGCCATATCCCTGTTGATTGTGTAGCTCAGATCGTAGACCTAGACCATTTACTTCTGATAAGGACTGTGGCTGAGGTGCACTGTTATCCCCAGCGTATCACTCAGCTTACGCTTTTCCCACTAAAGTATGTTTTGTCCTTTCCTTCCTGTCACTTTATGGTGATCTTTGGTGAGTTCACCCTATCTGATTATGCCATTCTTAGGTCTTTCCTCACCCCTTAGTACTGAAAGCCAGTGTGAGATGTGCTTATATTAAAGTATCTGCTCAGTATTTCTTTATGCACGCTTTTGCTTTTTTGTGTTCATATTGACCAACCTTGGATCATGTGCTCCTGGGGGACGTTGTTGAGTCCATTTTTTCCAGCTCTCCTCACAGGTGCTGTTTATGATGATAATGACAGTGATGATTACCTACAGTTGTCCTTGGTCCACCATCACAACTGGCTGTCCAGGCTTATGATGTTTTTCTTCCTTTTTTTTCAGACTGGGACTCTATACAATCAGTTTTTATTCTGTGTGTTCCCTGTGCTTCATTTCTTTGGAAAACCCCTTCAAGCTAATAGCTGGGATGATGAAAGCATTGGCAGCTCCTCTTGGCAGCCCCTTTTCCTTAGCTCTAGGCACTCTTCTTTGGCAGAACTTTCTTAACTTTATAGAAGCTGGAGCTTACCTGGAAGAGAAGAAAGTAATTTTTCTGAATCTCGGAGGGATGACCAGTCTGTATGGGGTTCTGTTCTCCAAATTTAGCTTAGTCATTTGACTTGAAGGATAAGGCAGTCCTGAGGAAAAAAAACAGTTGTTATTGAGTTGATTTCAACTGATAGTGACCTCATGTTTGTCAAAGTGGAACTGTGCCCCATAAGGTTTTCAATGGCTGATTTTTTTGGGAAGTAGATCTCCAGGTCTTTCTTCCGAGGTGCCTCTGAGTGGACTCACACCTCCAGTCTTTCGGTTAGCAGCCGAGCAAGTTAACCCATTCTGCCTTTTCCAATTTTGAAAAAAAGGTGTTCTGTTTATTTCTGTTCTACTGTTACTGGGCTGGTTTTGGTTGTGGTTTTGAGTGAGTTGAACCATATGGAAATAGTCCATTTTTTATAGTAAAAGATGGTAAAATATTGGCAGTTTCATATAATTCAAACTAATATAGGTTATTCATAGAATTTGAACTAGCTTATAGATTGTTTTTCTTAAAGGTGAACTGTGAAAAAGTGTTCCATTTGCTGTCGTGAGCAAATTCCGTAGGACAACAGTGCTAAGATAGCTCTCCTTTTTGTGTTACTTCCTAGGTCACTCTGCACCTAAATCCCATTTCCTCAGTCTACATTCACTACAAGCCTGTCGTGTTCCTGCTCAACTCCCCGCAGCCCCTGGTCTGGCACTTGAAGACAGAGAGACTTGCGCCTGGGGTCACCAGACTTTTCTTGGTAAGTGTTTAAAACCCTCCCAAACTGAGTCTTAGCACAAGGATACGACTACTCTAGAATTTTGCAAGGCTGGTAAGGCTTATTTCATTAAAATAATACCAGAGACCAAAAAGTGTTACCTTTGAAGAATACTCTTAGAGATATTTGGATGGCATAGATAAACATTCACAGAAAACAAAGCACCCACGCTCTTCTGTGGATGGAGATCGGGTCTAGTTTGCACATTTGAGCAGTACACACAGTTGTACTCTGTGTGGCCTGAGCTTTGGTTTTAGCACTGAGACCCCCTTGTGGCATCAGGAGCGATGTAAATATTGCAAATAGCCACTAGATGTGTGGTCTCTGACCACAAAGTAAATACGGACAAACCCATTCTATTTGTATATAACACAGGCCTAATTTCTGATACGAGGATCTGTTTGTTGAGAAAGTGACATAGCGAGCTCCAAAATGAAATCATTTGTATTTTATTAAAAAGCTGGAACCCAGCTCTTATGGAAAGATCCAAATATTACCTACTATTTGTAAATCATGTCCCTTTGAGTTTGCCAGAACATTCAAGTTTGCTAGTTGTGGAGAAATAGATGGGTTGTTTGGATGGAATTTTTTGAGTATGATATCATGTCTGATGATGAGCAACACTGCAACTTTGTAGTGATAATTCACATTGTCTATGGCTAGAGCTACATGCTAATGTCTTTAACTGCAGAGCCTTGAGCTTTTAAACCTCTCTTGCCTGCAAACATCCAAAACTAGTAGAGGCCTCAGTTAATAGTCCTCCCCTTGCAAAATGAATAAACTTTGCCCAGTTCATGACTCTTAATCCAGATCTGTAGATTCTTATCACTTGTATTTGAAGGGTATTTATAAAAACTCAAGTGTACCCATTGAATAAATAAGAATCCATAGTCAATACAGATAATAAGTAGAGAAATAAAAGAAAGGGGAAGAAGGGAGAACTTCTTTTTATAGTAGAATGACAATTAATAAATACAGAAAGAATGATGGAGTGAGAGAATCATCATTTTGCCTATCTTAGTAAAAGTTGATCAGGCAGCAATCATCACTGGATGCTAAATTGAGCAGGGGTGGAAGGAGTTTGAGAAATAGTATGTTTACGTGGTATCAAAGTATCTTTCCACAAATTATTAATTACAAAAGGAAATATAGTAAGTGTATACAGTGGAGATGCCCAACAATACCTTAACCAAGTGACCAAAATTAACACCACCAACATGGGGCAGGTGGATATTGTGTGCCTCCAGATGAGATACCCTGAAATTGAATAAGGTATTACTCATGACATATTCTAACCAGAAATGCACATGACCTGAATTAATCAAGAGGAAACATCAGGCCAAACCAAATTGAGTAACATTCTATAAAATAACTGGCCCATACTCTTCCAAATGTCAGTTATGAGAGACAAAGAAAGGCTGATAAACCATTCCAGCTTCAAGGAGACTCAAAAGACATGCTGATCCTGACCTGAATCTTCTTGGGGAGGAGTAAGGGAGGCAGTTGCTGTAAAGGACACTACGGGCGACAGTAGATGAAACTGGAATTCAGACTATAGGTTAAAATATTGCATCAATATTATATTTCTTGAATTTGATAATTGTACTATCATATAAGAGAGTATCCTTGTTCTAAGGAAACACACTTAATACACTTAAGTATTAAGTGGTAAAGGGCCAAATAGTTCATAAAAATATATATGGATGTACAGATAGAATAATAAAGCAAATGTGGCAAAAACTGGTGAATCTAGTTAAAGGATATATAGGAGTTCTTTGTACTATACTTGTAACTTTGAATTAATTTCAAAACAAAACCTTTGAAAACTCAAAGGTACATTTTCCAAGGCAGGAGTTACTAATAACTTAAGTTGTAGACTTTTCTGAGGATTGAAACCCTTTATTTTTCAATTAAAAAGGCCAAAAGTCAATAATTATTTGGTTGTTCTTATTACAATTACTGGCACATTCATTTAGCACTTAGTACATGCCCAGATATTGTACTATGTGCTCTAATACTTTCTCTCATTTAATTCACATAATAACCCTGTGATGATGGGGCTATATACCTCATTTTACAGATGAGGAACTAAGACAGAGAGAAGTTAAGTAGTGACCAAAATCACATGGCTAATTACTGGCAGTGCTGGGACTCAAACCCAGATCAGACTTACTCTACAAGCTCTTATCCTAAAACACCTCCCTTCATCCTGCTAGTCATTGTCAGTCTCCTGTAATTAAAGGTGTTTGTGACAGCAAGATGAATGGTCATGATTATAAAGTGATATGCACATTTAGCCCTTATATTATAAAGCTGCACAGTACAATGCTATAGGTACTAGCTACATGTGGCTATTTACATTTAAATTAATTAAAATTAAAAAAATTCAGTTCCTCCATCACACTGGCCATATTTCAGGTGCTCAATAACCACACGAGGCTAGTGGCTCCCACTGCATTGGGCAGCTCTGCAGAGTTTATGAACAAGGCTTTGCCTATCTTGGTTCGATCCCTGTCCAGTTCCATTACTTACTGCTTATGTAATCTTGGGTAAATTACTTAATCTCTCTAAGCCTGGATTTTCCTTGGTTTTAATATGGAGTAATAATAGTTCTATGTCATAGGGTTGTTATCTTGATTAAATGAGATTACACATAAAATACTTAGTACAGTGCCTGGCACTAATAAGTTTATAGGTATTACCTGCCATTATGTTCATTGTTTATTATAAGTCATAGTAAAGAGTGCTGGGGAACGATATTAAACTTCGATTGTAATTATAAAATGTCTAGCTTGTCTGGCCCCAGATTGAGAGGAGTTCCTATTCCCCTCGTCTGTAGGTCCAGATGAAAAGTATGGGCCACACATATATTGTGTATCACTCTGGATTCCTTCTTTAACCTGCCACTCTATGGGGCTTTAAGAAGTATCTTACTCCTAGGTAGTATTTATTTGCTTTAATTTTGTTTAGGGTTGCTATGAGTCGGAATCGACTTGACAGCAACGGGTTTGGTTTTTTTTTTTTTAAGATTTTGTTTAAGATCTGTAAGAACTGCTTCTTAGCCATCACTTTTAAGACATACTAACAAGGAAAAAAGGAGACAGTTTTAGTAAACAATTTAACATCAACCCTATTTGGAGTTAATTCCATGTAAGGAGATTTCAAACCAAGGAATGATCCTAAGATTACCAACATTGGAGTGGGGAGCAGAATTGGGAGATGTTAAGGGTTTAAATTCCAGGACACCTGAACCCTGCTTTGTTGCCCAGCAGTCTTTCTTTAGGGAAATGGTTTTCTCCCATCTGCACATCTCTTCATGGCCTGGAAGAGATGCTGCAACATCTGTTGTTCATTCAGGTTCTCAGATCAGCAGACAACGAGTGATACAAGTTCCCTCACAAGCTCGACAACTATAGCAGAGAGCATGCTGAAGTGAGGAGGGACAGCAAGCTGTAACTTTCCTCTCTGTAACCTGAAATGATTTTCAGTGTCTACTTCTCCACTTGACAGCCTTTGCAGCAGAGGGACCAATAATCAGCTGCTGGATAGAACAAAACCAGTGGTGTCTTCTGTTTATCCTTTTACCGTAGGTAATAGTTAAAGTTTGGAGATAAAACCAACAAACCAAACCAGTTGCCGTTGAGTGGATTCTGACTTATGATGACCCCATATGTGTCAGAGTAGAACTGTGCTCCATAGGGTTTTCAGTGGCTGATTTTTTGGAAGTAGATCACCAGACCTTTCTTCCGAGGCATCTCTGGGTGGACTCATACCACCAACCTTTTGGTTAGCAGCCAAATGTGTTAGCCATTTGCACCACCCAGAGACTCCAAAGTTTGGAGATAAGATAACTAATTATTTTATGTGAAGTGTTTTATCCAAGCACTTCAGTAGGGCCATGGAATCTTTAGAAACTGAGGCTTAGTCATTCCCATCACTGTCTTCCCCAAGGTTACCCAAGGAGCCTAGAGGTACTGAGGATAGAGGATGGCTCTGTTGACTCTGATTCAGTCCAAGATGCCCTGGTGCCCTGTGTCCTTGCTTTCTCCCTGATATGCTGGTGAAGATTTGCAGTACAGGCTTAAGGCTGTCTTTACTTTCTTGATAGAGTCATAATACTTTTAACTTTTTTTTTTTGTAAGTAAGGTGATGGGAAAAGTTCAAGTAGTGACATTTACTCATCTGTCAGGATGACGTTTTAATTTAAATAGACATATCTGCATTGTTATAACTACTCAAATTATAAAAGGAAACCTTTCATAATTAGTTAGGAGGGCCTTATGTTACTTGAAACATCTGAGCCTCCCCATGAGAGTGACTAAAAACATTATACTTTAAGTCTGTTTAATGACAGTGTCTGCCTTTTTCAGTCAAATCATCCCCATCCTTCTCACGATTCCATAGTGCAGGCAAGAGGGAGTGTGTCAGGCTGGGAAAAGGTAGGATTTAGTTTCCTCTGTAAGTGCAGGTCCTTTATCCAGTTGTTCTGCTTACCTGGGAAATGGGACTCGGATGAAGAGTGATTGTTTCAGGCCAAGTTTCAAGTAGTAGATTTTTGAGTGTTAGTCTCTCTCTCTCACACACACACATACCACGTGCACCCAGTGAAGTTGTCACGGCTTTATAGTTTTCCTTTTGCAGGGTGTATAGAATGACCCAGAGTATATTGGATAGGTTGGATTTGTCCCTTCATGGAATAGCACGTAAAAATAATTCCACCCTCTCATTTTTTCAGGTTGAAACTACAAATAAAATAGCTTAGAAGGATCATACATCTTATTTATACAATTATTTCCATGCTAAAGAAAAAGTGGAGAAATTCAGTTGGTCAATAGATGTCTGAACTTTCAACCTGAGCTTGCTGAAAAGATTGGGAAGAACCACAATATTAAGTTGTCTGTAGAACTTGCTGTGATTTGAGTAGACATTTCTCTAAGGAAGATATACAAATGACCAGTAAGCTCATGAAAAGATGCTCAACA